ACCCAAGTTAAGGTTATTTATATAGATCAAAAACAGCAGTGGTCCCAATACTGACCCCATGGGGATATCACTGAACACATCCTCCAGTCAGAAAAGCAACCGTTCACCACTACCCTCTGCTTTCTGTCTCCCATCCAGTTCTGTATCTATGCTGCCTCTGTCTCTTTAATGCCATGGGCTTCTATTTTGCTTACAAGTCTCTTATGTAGCGCTTTATCAAATGCCTTTTGAAAATCCATATAAACTACATCAACTGCACTACCTTCATCCACCCTCTCCATTACTTCATCAAAAAAACGTGGTGCAGGATGTTTAACGTCCTCCTGAACATGGCACATGTGGGACATAAGTTTACCATCTCCCCCCAGCACTGCGCTAGAGTGTCAGCCTAGATGCTATGAGTTCAAATTCCCATTGAGAGGCTTGAATTCACTACTTTCTGACTCAGATGCGAGTGTGTTACTGAGATCAGTTATTGGGGGCAGGGAATCCTCCCACTCAGCTGCTGTTAACCATGTAAGACAAAGCCCTAACTGGTAGGGTTGTCCTATTTGGACAAGCAGCAGGAAAGCTTGCCTGATAGGGACATCAATGACAAGCTATGTGGTTTTAGCTGGTTAGACGCATGCTCTGGGGTCCCCAAGCCTTGGTTCCTGCCAACCTGCTCCTAATACTCTCTGGAATTAGGTAAGCAGGATGTGTTCATCCAGGGAGAGAGCACATTACATTCCAACAATCTCTGGGATTTCCATGTGTAGGTGGGATGCATGGAATTCTGTTTGGTTTGGACACGCTTATGCATGGTGATGGGTTTCTGCATGTGTCAGATACCCGGCTGACACCCAAAAAATGACTGAACCAAGCTGACACACATATGGAGTGCTTGGTTATGTTCTCATTCTTATTGCAAATTAGATCAATTTCTGTTGGGAAATAATATCTTGGGATATAGTATATAATTTTGGACTGACGTGATCATGCGACTATCAGGATGGTGGAGGGCGAACTGGATAAATCTTGGTCTTCTTTTGTCTAGCAATTAATAATAATAATAATCTTTGCATTTGATATACCACCTTATCACATCTTCGAGATGCCTCAAAGCGCTTCACGGAATATACTGTGAAATGAATATTTTAAATGACTGTATATTTTGAGGGACAATCCTATAGATACGTTGGTCTTTCACCTCAAGACTAATTTTGGAACATTGTGGTGTGCAAAATAGCTGCTGCTACACTTTATAGCAGTTCCCCGTGAAACGCTTTGAGATGTTTTGTCATGATGAGGAAGTGATTGAAGTGGTCTCATTTTTCCACTACATTGGGAAATCTGTTAAGAAACAATGCTTTCTGTTGAGTGTTACAAGATGTTTTGTGGATGTTGAGTGTTACAAGATGTTTTGTGGATGTTGAGTGTTACAAGATGTTTTGTGGATGTTATGTGGTGAAATGCGGCAGCTAATTGCACATAGCAGTATGAACAAACAGTTATGAATTGAGTTACCAAATTTTTTTTTACACTTACTTTTTGAAGAGATTATTACCCTTGGAAAGCGGTTCAGCAATCAACTAACAACCAGGTTTCTACTTATTGCTAGGTAAACAGAGGTATGAGGAGTAAGTGCCTCTGTTTACCCAGCCATGTGGTTTACCTTTACCACATGTATGCAGATGACACCCAAATCTATTTCTCCTCCAGATGTGACTTCCAGTCCACTGATGTCCTGTCAGCTTGTTTGACAGATATTAAAGTCTTAATGAATGCAAATTTCCTACAGCTGAATGTCAGCAATATGGAAGCCATACTCTTTGGCTCCCGTCAACGTCTTCTTTCCTGCTCCTACCTCTCACCTCCCTCTCCCCCCGGCTTGTTGTCAGACTCCGCCACTGTGAAGTGCTCCGGGATGCCACGTGAAGGGTGCTATATAAATACAAGTTGTTGTTGTAAAGAAACTTGCCTAAGTTTTAGCCCGCACAGAAATCGAACCTAGGTCCTCTCGCTTGCAAGATAAGTGCACTAACCACTAAACTGCAGGACTCCACATGTTCTTATATTGTTATACTCCTGTGCTGAAATGCGAAAGAAAGTGTTAAAACCAGCCTTGTTCTTGGGAGGAGCCTGGGAGGAGTGGAGTTTGGCTGTCGATGACATCCCTCAGGGGGGTGGGAGCCAGGCCACTTCCCTTCGGAAAAGGCTTTGTGTCTGTCTGGCTGGCCAGACAGAAAGACACTGGGCTCCAGTCTTGATCCACCTGGACACGGCTCACATAGATGCCCCTTTGCTGAACACCACTGGGTATATTTTTGAGCTGAAAGGAATTTGGTTCGAGTTTAAACATGCTGAGATGCCTGCTGCGCTCTGCCAAAAACCTCCCCAACGTGGAGAAGGGTGACAGGCAGAGCGACCCCCTGGTCAGTCTGACCTTCCGAGGTAAGTGAGGGGTGGGGAAGGGAGAATGAGTTGGCGAGGAGGAAGGAGAGGAGCTTCTGGCTATAACAGGAGAGAGATGTAGGACAAATGTGACTTTACTTGCAAAAGTATTTTTATATACTGTGTATATTTTTTAAAAAGCTGTAAAATCAGTTTCTCCCGTTCCCTCTCCCCACCGCACCCCCCCCCCCCACCCGAATCTCAAAACTTGTCCTAACATAAGAAACAAGAAAGCATTTTTTTTTGTGTGTTTTGCAAGTTCAGTTTAATTTCTATGTTGCTCTGCTGAGGCGGGGTGGGTGGGTGCGTGGGGCAGTGGGTGAGAGAACATCTCACTTTGTTCTCTCCCTTGCCTCCTTCAAGGGCTGTCTCAAAGACCCTTGTCTTCGGCCGCACCTTCGGTCCCCCTCCTACCCCTACTCTCCCTGCCCTCCACCCCTCCTGAACCCAACCTCCAACTCAAGTCCAAATCCCTGACTGTCCAACGCCTTGGGACATTTTCTCGACGTGAAAGGTGTTGTGCAAATGTAATGTGTTGTCACAGTTGGAGAGAGTTTTTGAAAGCTCCCTAAGCTTTTTGGATGTATTGTACAACCGAGTTTGCGTAAAGTTTGCGATGATCGCTTTTCTCTGTGTGCCTTTTCATGTCTGTGTGCAAATTCTTTTTGCTTTTAAGTTGCAATAAAAAAATGCCCCCATTTCCCTTCACCAAAGTGCCCCCTCCCTCTTTTTCCCCTTCCCTCCTTCCCTGACAGTCCCTAAGCGATGCTTTTGTGGATGAAGTGTTTATTTAAGGCTCGCTCCATCCAGCCTATGAATCTCTGTCTCACAGAGAGCAGAGAGAGAGAGAGGGGGGTGTGGGGAGAGGCAGAGAGAGAGGGGGCAAGGTTAAAGCAGACTTTACTCTGCGGCAGGCAGTAACGGTTAATTTAAACTGTTCCTGATCCTGGTCTGATTTTCTCCTCTCGCAGTGCTGAACCCGATTCAGCTTTTTGTGACCATATAAAGACGTGTTTCTCTCACCTCCATTTAAAGAGAAAGCATCGCAGATTGATTGGCGGTTCCAAAGCATGCAGAGTTGGATGTGTGAAGAGTTTTGATTTTACTGTTTTTTGTGTGTGTGTGTGTGTATGTATATGTGTGTATGTGAGTGTATGTGCGTGTGCTTGGGAAAGCCACACCTACACATACAGGATGCCAGCCTGATTCAATCAGCAGCTCTCTCACCTCTGAGTTAGAAGGCTGTGGGTTCAAGCTCTTGCGGTGGGAACTTTGAGATCACAGTCCTGGCTAATGCTCCAGGGCACTGCTTGGGGAGCACTGCAGTGTTGGAGGTGCCTTCCTTCAGGTGAAATGTTAAACCAAGCTCCCCTTCTGTGTCCCATTTGTGCCCTGTTCAGGTGGACGTTAAAGATCCTACGGCACTGTTGGAAAACAGAAGGGAGTTTCTCTCTCCTGGTGTCCTGGGCAACATCCCCCAAATAAAATCACTCATTCACTTCATGGCTGTTTGTGGGACATTGCTGCCTGCAAATTAGCTGCTGTGTTTTGCACACAAAACACAGTCACTACACTAGACAGTAAAATTCTGCAAAGAGCATGGAGACATTTACATCATGTGACAAAGCACTGTATCAAATGCAAGATCATTAATTCAGTAAACACCTGATAACTCAGTACTCTGAGGGGAGAAGGGTTTAGTGACGAGTTATCAGGAGCGGCGAGTTAGGCTTACGTATAAATACATTAATAAAGTAGTGTAGTGGTTAGAGCGCTCTTCTCACAAGCGAGAGGTCCTGGGTTTGATTCCTGAGCAGGGAGAAACCTTAGGCAAGTTTCCTTGCTCCGCACACTTCTGTTTACCTAGCAGTGTGTAGGAGCCTGGTTGTTAGTCGATGGCGGATCACTTTTCCAGGTGTAATAATCCCTTCAAAAAATAAATAATAATTTGGTCACTCAGTCCACGACTGTTTGTGGGACACTGCTGTGTGCAATTGGCTGTTATACTGTTCATCAAAATTAAGCCCAAAACTCCGATGGTCATTGATTATTCCCCACTGTGTCTTGTCAGCGTCCTCACGTTCCCATTCCAATCCCTTGTGCCTCTCCCACACACATACTGCACAGCACAGACTGGGAATGCTGCCCCGGGAACTGGGAATGCTGCCCCAGGAACTGGGAATACTGCTTCAAAGTTGATGAATCCATAGGAAGTAAAGGGGATTTAGGGGTTTGGGAGACAGGGGAGGAAATGGGATTAAAAGATGCGGTTTCATTTGATAACCTGATGGAGCAGGCTGGGTGGTCTGAATGGCCTCTTGTCCCTGTGTTTAGGTCTATGTTTCTATATATCCTTCCCCCCACCACACAGCCTCAGGGGAACCGGGGTGGGGGCATTGGTGTCTGAGCGACTGAGACTGAGTGAGGTGGGGGTTGGGGGTCAGAGACAGAGAGAGACTAACACAGACAGACAGTCACAGGCATAGAGACAGATGCAAATAGAGACAGACACAGACAGAGAGACACAGACAGACTGGTTCACTGACTGTCGCTCCTTTCCTCCTCAGGTGTAAAGAAGAAAACGAAAGTCATAAAAAACAATCTGAATCCTGTCTGGAATGAGGTAGGAATGTCGGAAAATATTGGTGTGAGCAAGGAAATTCCTGTGCCGGGAATCCTGTTAAGTCAGTTATATTAAAACAGAAAAGGGAACATTTAACTTAAGCTATTAAATATCCACAATAAAGTGTCTTATCTTGTCCAGAACAGTAGAACCTGAGGACACGGCCTGCAATTGAAGGGGGGTAAATTCAGAACAAATCTGCGAAACACTACTTCAGTGAGCGAGTTGTAAACGTATAGAACAGGCTGCCTAGGGAGACGGTGGAAGCAGCAAATGCGATTCTTTCAAGAACAAATTAGTTAGCTTTCTGTTAGGAAATAATATTGTGGGATACAGTATATTTTTTGGGACATGACATGAGCATGTGACTGCCAGAATGGTGGAAGGTAATCTGGATGGACCTTAGTTTTCCTTCGTCTAGCAATTCTTATGTCATGTTTTTAACTTCTATTAAAAAGTGATGATAGTTTGATGGCGTTCGGTGATGGCCATTTTGAGTTTTAGATTTATTAAACAAGTTCCTCTTTCTAAACAAGCCACATTTAGGGGCATGTGTGCCAGCCTGGTGTAGTGGTAGCACTCTCGCACTTGAGTCAGTAAAGTTGTGGGTTCAAGCCCCACATCAGGACTTGGCGTCACATAATTTAAACAGACACTCCAATGCAGTGCTGGGATGTGTTGCATTGTCGTAGGCGCTGTCCTTCGGATGAGACGTTAAACTGAGCTCCCCGTCTGTGCTTATCTAGGCAGACATTAAATATCCCTCGGCACAATTGGAAAAGAGAAGGGAGTTTCTCTCTCCCAGTGTCCTGGCCAACAATCTCCAAGATAAAATCGGTCACTCACTTCACGGCTGTTTGTGGGATGTTGCTGTGTGCAAATTGGTTACTGCAGCTGCTACAAAACACACAGTCACTACATTTTACAGTAAATCTTGTGAAGTGCTTTGAGATGTCCTCCTGATCTAAAAGGCACTGGACCAAATGCAAGGATTATTATGGCAGCGTACGACTGAGTCTTAATCCTAAGGGATTTTTTCTTCCTTTTGCAGGGATTCGAATGGGATTTAAAGGGAGTTCCTCTGGATGGGAATACTGAGCTCCACGTGGTAGTGAAGGATCATGAAAAAATTAGCAGGAACAGGTAAGGACTGCGTTCAGTTTTAGGCACCGCACCTCAAGAAAGATACAAAAACGTGCATTTGTAAAGCACTCTTCACTCGCAGGGTCTCGGAATGCTGAACAGTGGCGGACCACTCTACCAGTTAGTGCTTTGGTCTGCAGGGTGATGGGTCTGTCCTTCTCAAGTCCTGCTGATGAGCCAGGCTGGGCTGTACTGTCAACAGCAGTGCCCTGGAATACTGCAGACTTGCCTGGCTCAGGAGCTGGACTGTCAGAGCTGGCTCAATTCCCACATTCCATTGCCAAACATGTCACCTTGGAGCCAGCTCAGCTCAGAGGAGACCACGCGGTATAGAGAGTAGAGCATGAGAAAGTAGATAGTGTAGTGGGAGCTGGTGATTTAATATAATAATAAATTTGGTCACTCAATCCACGACTGTTTGTGGGCTGTGTGCAATTGGCTGCTGTGTTTCGCCCACAAAATATACACGCAATTCATTTTACTGTATATTCTGTGAAGCACTTTTTGAGACGTCTCGCAGACGTGATACAGCGCTATATCAAATGCAAAGATTATTATTTGTGGAGTCCTGTAGCTCAGTGGTTAGAGTACTCGCTTTGCAAGCGAGAGATCTGAGTTCAATTCCAGGCAGGGCGAAACCTTGGGCAAGTTTCCTTACTCCACACGCCTAATAATAATCCCTCCAAAAAAAGCAAAAAACAATAATAAATTGGTCATTTTCAATCTACGACTGTTTGTGGGACATTGCTGTGCGCAATTGGCTGCCGGGTTCGCCCACAAATATACAGTCAATTCACTTTACAGTGTGTTCTGTGAAGCGCTTTGGGACGTCCTCCTAACGTGAAAAGCGTTATATCAAATGCAAGGATTATTATTATTATTGTTAATTAATGTGACCTAACCCACTGTGTGATTATTTTGGAACCTGTCCTAAGTTTCAAGGCTTTTACACAAAGCTAATTAAGTCATCACAGGTCAGTGCTGGGTGTGTCTGGACCACATGTGATAAAGATCTGTCTCTCACTGGTGGATTGAGACTTATCCCAGTACGGGAACAATCAGTTCTTGTCTGTCCCTCACATCACCCGTTGGCATCATCCCTCAATGCCCCACGGCACGATTCCCGAAGAGAAGGGAGTTTCTCTCTCCCGGTTCTCCTGTCCGACAATCCCACAGGCAAATCACTCATTCATTCACTTCACACCTGTTCGTGGCACATTGCTGTATGTGCATTTAAGCCACCACAATGTAGGAATCCCTGTGTCCGGAATGTAATGCACACTCTCTATCGCTCCTTCTCGTGCTTTCGCTGCCCTGCAGGGACACATTCCAGAGAGTATTAGGAGCAGGATGGCAAGAGTGTGCATTGGGGTCACTGCTGGAGTCTTAACCAGCTAAAATCGTGCGGCTTGCCATTGAGAGCACTGACTGGTAAGCTTTCCCGCTATTTGTCCAGCTAGGACCACCCAACCCATTAGGGCTTTGGCTTGCAGGATGACAGGAGCTGAATGGGAAGAGTCCCAGGGACTAGCCTGCCCTTCCAAGTTTGTGCGTGTGAGTGTGCGCGTGTTTTATGTGTGTGTTTTATGTATATGGGTGTGTGTGTGCATGAGGACCCAGGTTCGAATCCCGGGCAGGGTGAAACATTGGACAAGTTTCTTTACTCCACACACCTTTGTTTACCTAGCAGTAAATAGGAACCCGCTTGTTAGTCAATTGGCAGATCACTTTTCCGTGGATAATAATCCCTTTTTAAAAAAAATCAATCCATGACTGGTTATGAGATGCTGCTGTGCCCAATTGGTTTCTGGGTTTCGCCCACAAAATAGACACTCAATTCACTTTACAGTATATTCTGTGAAGCGCTTTGAGACTTCTCGAAGATTTAATAAGACACTATTATCAAATGCAAGGATTATTATTATCCTATGTTTTGTAATGTGAGTGAGCGTGTTTGTGTATGAGTGAGTGTAAATGATTTATCCTAACGTCTCTGTATTAGTTATTCGGTTGATGAGGTTAAATTGATGACCTCTAGTCACTGACTCAATGATAGTCGCCATCAATTATCAAAAGCCCCTCATACATCACTCAGGACGGCAGGGTGGCAGGCAGGCAGGTTGTCAGGCAGGCAGGCAGGCAGGCAGGGTGTCAGGCAGGCAGTCAGGCAGGCAGGCAGGCAGTCAGGCAGGGTGTCAAGCAGGCAGGCAGTAAGCAAAATCAGACACAACCAGGCCCTGGATTAAGACCAAATGTCATTCTGATAAACCACAGATCTCAGAGCTTCTCAAAAACAGAGCCCTGAAATTCCACTGAGCCTTTGCAGTGTCTCAGACTGTCTCTGTCTCTCGCTCTCTGTCTCTGAGTCAGAAGGCTGTGGATTCAAGCCCCATGTCAGGGATTATGAGCTCACAGTCCAGGCTCACACTCCAGTGCAGCGCTGAGGGGAAGAGAGCAGCTCATTGTCTGAGATTGCATCTTTTGGATGAGATGTTAAACCAAACTCCTCTGTCTGTGCCTGTTCAGGTGGACATTAAAGATCCCCTGGCACTATTCAAAAAGGGAGTTTCTCTCTCCCGATGTCCTGGTTGACAATCCCCCAGATAAAATCGCTTGCTCACTTCACAGCTGTGTGTAGGGTGTTTGTATTGGCTGCTGCATTCACTCACAAAACACAAGTCACTACACTTTCGGTTTCGGTGGACAGACAATGTGTTGAACACAAAGATTTTAATTGAATGTTAAAATAATAAAATTTGCAATTAATTCACAGAAAGCCTTTCACATTAGGAGGACGTCTCGAGATAGGGTTTGACTGTAAAACGCAGTGACTGTGATTTTGTAGACGAACACAGCAGCCAGTTTTATTACTGTTTACTTATCATGCTACAAGTCCACACAGAAGAATCACAGGGTAGGGAGGGAGGACTGAGGTGTGGCTTGTTCTGTTTATGTAAGATGTTTATGTCTATGTGTCTGGTCCATCGTTCGATGGCTGACAGAGCGTATCAAGGCAGCACAGACCCACATCAAGACAGTACACGTCTCAGTCTGATCCGGGTGGGAACAGGGACAAGCCTAGACAAAAGGCTGGACCTCGCTCTCTGCCTTCAGCCACATCAGTGAAAGAGCTTTTTCTAATAAAACCATCCTTGCCTCAGATACCCATGTCAGGACTTGAACTCACAAAGTCTAGGCTGACACTCCAGTGCAGTGCTGCGGGGTGTTGCATTGTGTCATCCTTCGGATGAGACGTTAAACCGAGCTCCCTGACTGCTTGTTCAGAGGGATGTTAAAGATCCCAAGGCATTATTGGGAAAAAAGAGGGCAATTCTCTCTCCGTGTCCTGGCTCAAACCCCCAAATAAAATTGGTAACTTACTCCACGATTGTTTGTGAGACTGATAAGGCGTTAAAAGATTTTACTCTGTCTCTTACCCGTGCTGTCATTGACGTGGATGAACACGGAGTTGGATAACCATCTCCTGCCTCTCAGTTGAGTCTCCTTGATTGGGATAAACATTCCGAAAAGACGTGTAATTCCTGTAAATATAGAGTGGGTCTGTGGCAAATCCGGGTCTATTTATAAACAAGAAAGCAATGCCCAAGCTCTGTGTCCTGTCTTCCTGAAGCTGTTATCTCTCCCATTGTTTCTGCCGGAGGCAGGAAGTGGCTTCCGTTAGGAATGGAGTGGTACTTCCTGTCCTCAGGAAATCCAATGACCCCTTCCTCCCAACCTGTGAGAAGATCAGAACATATCCTCACATATAGTGTGTGAGAGAGGGGGAGACAAAGAGATACAGAGACGAGCAAACCCAACAGACAGTGAGTGTGTCTATTTACAGGCTGACCGAGGAGCTTGGACTTGGATAGTCAGGGTGGTCTAACCCTTTGGCTGCCGCGGACACATTCCCTATTTGAGAAAGGTCTGCGAGCCGCAGCCAGTGTGGGCATCCGGCCCGAGACCATTTCTGACATTCCGATTTGCCCCCTCCCTCCCTGGTGAATTCAAACTCTTTTGAAAAAGCCGGCACAGACACGATGGGCCAAATGGCCTCCTTCTATGCTGTATAATTATGATCCTATGATCCCTTGGCAGTGGCGGGAGCCGGCGGTTGGGAGGATGCAGCGAGCAGAGTCTTCACTGCAGTCTGTCAGGAAGGCAAGTGCGTCTCTCACCAACCGTGTCCTAAGCAACCAGACCCTCCTTCTCATTTCCCCCCCTCTGCTTCTCTTTCCCCCCCTCTCCTCTTTTATCCCCCATCCTTCTCTTCCCCCCCTTCCTTCGTTCTTCCCCCCTTCCTTCGCTCTTTCCCCCACCCCTCTTTCTCGTTCCCCCCTCTTCCCCCCTCTTTCCCGACACTCTCCCCCCCTTCTCTCCCCCCTCTCTCCCCCCCCTTCTCCCCCCCCTTCTCCCCCCCTTCTCTCCCCCCCCTCTTCTCTCCCCCCCCTTCTTCTCCCCCCCCCCCCCTTCTCTCTCCCCCCTTCTCTCTCCCCCTTCTCTCTCCCCCCCTTTCTCTCTCCCCCCTTCTCTCCCCCCCTTCTCTTCCCCCCCCCTCCCCCCCCTTCTCTCCCCCCCCCCTTCTCTCCCCCCCTCTCTCCTCCCCCCCCCCTTCCTCTCTTCCCCCCCTTCTCTCTTCCCCCCCCTTCTCTCTTCCCCCCCTTCTCTCTTCCCCCCCCTTCTCTCTTCCCCCCCCTTCTCTCTTCCCCCCCCTTCTCTCTTTTCCCCCCCCTTCTCTTCCCCCCCCTTCTCTTCCCCCTTCTCTTTCCCCCCTTCTCTCTTCTTTCCCCCCCCTTCTCTCTCCCCCCCACTTCTCTCCCCCCCCTTCTCTCTTCCCCCCCTTCTCTTCCCCCTTCTCTCTCTTCCCCCTTCTCTCTTCCCCCCCCTTCTCTCTCCCCCCCTTCTCTCTTCCCCCCCTTCTCTCTTCCCCCCTTCTCTCTTCCCCCCCCTTCTCTCTTCTCCCCCCCCTTCTCTTCCCCCCCTTCTCTCTCCCCCCTTCT